CACACACACACGGACAGGAGCTCCCCCTCTGACTTCCCCAGGAGCCCCCAGCCCCAGCCTAAGGTGGTTGCCAGGGGACCCGTGGCTGCCCTGCTTTGAAGGAGCAAAGAAGCATCTATGCCTTGACAGACAAGAGGCATTGGTTCAAGTAGGAAATGAGGCCACTGTCTGGACATAGGAAATGCAAAAGGTTTGATGTGAGTGGGCTCCCAGTGGGCCAGAGAAAGGGGGTGGGGGGAATGACATGCCTGGGTTTCAACAGACAGTAGTCTTTGGATTCACACAGGCTGGGTGTCCCACCCCCACCCAAGCTTGCTGATCACTGGCCTTGGAAAAGAAAACCCACAACAGAGGATGGGTGCACTAAAGGGCATGGAATTTGTAACCCACAGCTGTTATATCCTAATAAGCGTTATTCAAATGCCCCAGACCTTCAGTTGCTACTGACAGTCACTGAACTGCAACTGCCCCCCGCAGCGACCCTGACTTTAAAAGTCCGGTGACACCATGGGCATCTGACTGACAAATGTGCTCGAGTTTTGCCTTGAAGTTTATTTCTATACCACACAACCCAGCAAAAGACACAGCCATTTTCTACAATCCTCTGTTTGGAATTTCCCAGGGCTGAGCAACAAACAAGAATGTCATCAGAGGAGCCGGGAGCCAGCTGCTGTCAGGAACCCAGCTAAGGCCAGTCAGCCGGTCACGAGACTAGGGTTTCAAAGGTCAGAAAGACAACACCTGAGTGCCCACTTCCCTCCCACGGCCCAGCACGAGTCCTGGCCGCCCGGTCATTCACTCCATCCTGCCAGGGCACAGCAGGCTCCTGGATGAGGTCAGGATACCAGCCATCTCTGGCTCGGCCTCGTGCAGGGGAGATCCCTCGTTTCATATAGATATAACACAGCCCTTGATGTCTAGAAATGGGGAGTCATAGGGGGAGGACAAGAACCATCTATAGGATGGATACCATTATATGACAAGGAATCAACAACAGAAGGAGCGCATACAATATGCCCAGGCCATTAGGAGGACCCACCCAGGACCTGGCCCTCCCAGGAAGAGCGGGAACCCTGGAAAGACATTCCAGGGGATGGGCCGACCAGGGGCACTCCACCCCAGGGGTGGCAGACCAGCTGGCATCACCCCACATCCTGATACAACCGATCTGCAGAAAACTCCCAGCGATCCTTCCTATACCCATGGAACTGACACAGGTCTTCACCAGCACCATTCACTGCTCACGGAGTTCATGTGCCAGGTGCGAGCAGGGCACTAGGACAGAACAAGCAATAAGGGCCCTGCCCTCAGAGAGATTACAGTCTGGTTGGGTCAGAAGTAATAGACAAACTTCACTGCCAAGTGAACTTCACAGCCATCTCATCCTGGCCTTTCCCTTCCCTCCTGATGAAGGAAAGCAGACTCACCAAGGGCCACAAAAGCACTTAGTGACCGTGACAGGAGTCCTGACGCCCAGCCAAGCCCCCACCCATGGCCCTCAGTGAGGCCCTGCTCTCCAGGAACTGAGGTCCCCAAACTTGCCAAGTCCATGTTCCTCTATGGGGACACTTCACCTTGAACTAGAGAAGACCCAAAATGGCTGATGAATATTTGATTTTGTTTTTTAAGTTGTAAGTTAACATGAGGTCTCTGAGGAACCGGTTCATGGATTATTTCCTTCCTGAGCCTGTTTTTTGGGGGAGGGGGCCTCCATTTCGAACCCCACCCTTATGACAGGTTCCTTCCTCTGGGGAGTCGGACCACCACCCCCACTCCCCCATTTGAATCCCAACACTGCCACTTCCTAGCCAGGTGACCTCAGGCAAGTTACATCTCTATGCCTCAGCTTCCTCAGCAGCAAAATGGGGCTAATGAGAGTATCCATGTTTACCCTTTTGTATGGGCATCAATTAAGGGGAGGCTTGGAAAGGGCTTAGCCCATACCGGGCACACAGTAGAGTGTTCCTAAGGGTTAGTTTACCAAAAATGAAGACAAGTCTCTTCCACCCAAAAATGGAGGGGAAAAGCCACCTTCCTCACTCGCACCACCCCCTCAGGCTCGGCCTTCTCCCTCTTCTTGGCCCCGCAAGCCCTTCTGAAAGAGCAGCTGTGCCTGGGCCCCTTCAGGGTCCTGTGACATCCCGACCGCTTTCCCTTCTGGCCTCTCCCTTCCCTGGACCCTCCTTCTGGGCCGACCCAGCTCTGCACCTGCCTCAGCCTCCTCGGCACCAGGCCTGCCCACGGGCTTCTTTTCCTTCTGGTCTCTGTTCCTTTGGGTCCTCGTCTCCACACCAAGTTCTCAGAACTTCTCCCTCTCCAAGCCCTCCAGCTGTGCCCTCAGCTAGCTCCTCTCCTCCTCCCATCTCCCAGGGGACGCCCTTCCCAGGCCTCCATCTGCTCTGCTCTCTCTCCACTCAGCAACAGGGGTCCCCAGGAGAGCTCAGGGGAGGCACTGGCCCTTCTAGAGTCCTCCTACGCTCTGGGTTAGTGTTTCTGACTAACTCTTCAGTGTCTCCTAGGGGAGGCATGTTCTGAAACAGTCTGAAAGCACTCTGTCTAGATTGCATCATGTATAACCCCTCCGGGGGTGGGTTCCTATCTTAGTGTCACCACTGTCCCTGTTTCCCCCAACCCGAGCTTCAGAGTCGTCTTGGGTTTTCCTCCTTGCTTGCTAGCCTTTCTATCTCTAAAGCTCTGCTCCATTCCCAGGGCAAACTGTCCAACACCCAACTTTTCTAAGTTGGAACGGTAAACCGACTTCCTAAATGGATTTCATAAAATAAGTAATTTGCACAAACGCTTCCATTTGTGTGTAAACAGAAGGGAGGAGTGCAAAACAAATGGGCTTCTCAGAGCCTACTCTAAATTTCACCACTGGCCCAGCAGTCGGCTCTGAGGCAGGTCAATTACTTAGTTTACAGATGAGGGAAGGTGGAGGTAAAGGACGAGCAGAGTCACAGAAGCGGGCTGTGTCTGACTTTCTTTCTCCTTCCCACTAGACTCCAAGCTGACATGACAGCAACAGATGGTCTGGTGGAACCTAAGAAGGTCTCCAGCATCAGGGAAATTAACAACACATACTCTCAGAGAGAGAGAACTGGTGTGTGGTCCTGGGGCATGTCTTGAATGATTGGGGGGCATCCCAAAGCCCCATTGGATAGCACCCCTCAACCAGACACACCAATATTGATACAGAACACAACTCCCACAGCAATGTCACCTGCCCTTTCTCTATATTTTCACGCTAGAACTAAGTGCAGGCTGGGAGACAGCCTCCTCCTCTGAATGCTTGATTCTCAGTGTAATGCTTCCTTGCTAAAGGAAGGATTCCCACGTAGACATGATGTACTCAAGACCTTTCCGGAAACGGGCTATCAAAGCAGGGGCAGCAGTTCAGCTATGTAAAACTGCAACCCATAAGGATGGAGCACATGTGGAAATGATTAACGAGCAACTGCTGTGTGTCATCTGGGCCATCAGCAACCACGAAAGCCACAGTGAATGCTGAAATGAATACAGGAAAATCCTTAGACTGTTTTGGCCAACTACACTTTTCCAGAAGATGAAATTACCATCACTTTTCCCATTAAAATGGAGTAGGCCTGGGCAGAACAAGCACAACTCTAAGGCAATAGCGGGGACGACCTCTGCCTCATGGCACCGCTCTGAGGGGTGGGGAAGGGAAAAGCTGGGATTGACCGACTCTGTGCGCAGGCTTGCTAAGGGTTTAAAAATATATGAGATATTGTTGTACAATAAGTCCCTAAGTGGGCAGAATCTTCCCCATTTGGGGGATGACGAAGATGAGCCCCAAAGAGCAGTGATTTTTTTCCTTGCCCCAGTTCTCAGACATATAAACTGGCAACAGCACTCACGACCCACAGCCACAACGACCAACTTTCCAGAAAAGACCATAGGAAAAAATCAAAGACGAAACAGAATCTCCCTCTCTAAAAATAGAGACAAAACCCTAAGTATCTAGACCAATGAAAACTTTCACAAGGAATGTAACCAATTCATACCACTGGCTACCCGCCACCTTCTCTCCTTAACTCACTCACTGGAAGTCAGAGGAAAAACAACTCAGAGTCACAGCTTTTAAATGCAGGTCATAAAAACAAGTCGTCCCCCCTGATGGCTTCCAATAAAAGGCGGAGGAGCCGCTATAAGATCGACCTGCTCCTTATGGAGATGTGCGGCGGGAGGAAGCGGCGGCGGGGTCCGACTGCACGTGGGGGCAGGGCTGTCCACCTGCGGCCGCGCCCCGCGGGCCAGCCGGGACGTGGAAGGGACGAGAGGACCCGGCCGAGGGGCCCTTCCTGCCGCCGGTCCCCGCGGGTAGAGAAGGATGCAGGAGCGAAAGAGGCACTTTCTCAGCATCCAACGCCCCTCGCCTCGGCGGGGCAGGCGGAGAGCCCTTTGGGGATTTGTCCTGCGTGCTTTCAGATTCGGAAGTCGCACCGCTTTGGGCCCCTCCTGGGGGCGGGGGCCGAGGGGCTCGGGGCGCGGGCTCAAGTCCGGGCTCCCAGCCGTCCCCCGGGCCGCCAAGCCGAAGTCCCCGCACCGCGCCCACTGCCCAGACGAGGCCCCTGCGGCTGCGGGAAGGCAGGCAGCTGGCCCCGCCGAGGCAGCGGCTCCGACGCCCGCACGGCCGGGAGAGTGGTGACCGCGACCCTCCGGGACTGCCCTCCCCCGACGTCCCGGGCCGCGCGCCGGCCAGCCCGTCTCGTCCCCCGGCGGCGACAGGTGCGCGGCCCGCGACCCCTGGCGCCGACTCCGGGAAAGTTTCCCTGGCCGCGGCGCGCTGTTTACGGTGTCGCTTTGAGGCGCGGGGGCCCGGAGCCCTCGGCCGGCCCAGCCATTGAAACCCGAGCCGCGGGGAGGGGCCGCGGCCGCCGGCGGAGGCGGAGGCGGGCGGGCGCCGGGCTGGCCGGCTGCAGCGGCCCTCACCTCCTTCCACACGCTCTTAGGAGGCTTCCACTGTGTACCGGATACTGTACCTGCAGCTCCGCGCGCCGCCGCGGCCGCCTCCATGCTCCGCTCTGGCCGCGCCGCGCCCCGCCCCGGAGCTGCCAGCGTCCCCTCCGCGTCTCCTCCCCCGGGGCTGCGCCCTCGCCCGCCCTTGGCACCTGGGCCCGCGCTGCGTGGTCTTCTTCTCTAGCGACCCTCGGATCCCTAAACAGTTTGCAAAGCGAGTTGGCCACCTCCGAGGAGTACTTATTATGCCCTCTAATTCTTTCGCAGAAGAAACCGTTCGCACCCCCACCGCCTGCATCCAGCACCCCCTCTCCGCGCCCCTTCCCACTTCCTTCCTTTAGGTCTATTTCTATGGACAAGAATCATTTTCATTATTCCTTTTAGAAAATGTACACGGAAAAATAACTCAAAGACAATCAATGGCACACATTAAGCAGAACATCCCATCCTCTTTTCTGCCCATTTCACTCTTTTCGGGTTTTTTTCCTGACAACTGTATTGTGCCCATTTTTGCTGATAACTAATACTTTTATTTATTAAATGTTCAAGCTTGTGCTCACTTGAAATAGCAAAATTCAACGAGAGGCAATTGTTTGTGCAGTACTTCTTTTTCTTGGCCGGTTTCAAGGTGTTTTTTTACAGGGGAGGTGGGAGCAGGGGTGGTTTTAAAATGCCGGCAGCCTTGGAACCCAAAGGCCTGTGATCAGTCAGCTGGTGCCTGCCCTCTTTGGTTGGCAGCTCTGAAGTTTGCCCTTGTGGACTGGCACCCGCAAGCTGCATGCTCAGCCCTTGTGGACCTCTGCCCCCAAGACTGGTCTGGAACTCACCTGCCTGCCTTGTCCCTCCACCCCAGAAAACAGCCCATCAGAGGAGCCTCCTAGCTGCTCCCAATGATGCACCCCCACCGTGGAGCAACCAACTTGCCAGGGACCAGGGCACCCCCATGCATGGAATGGAAAAAAGCCCCAATTCTGCTTCCGTTGCCTGTTGCAGCAGTGTGCACATTGTTGCAGCCAGGAGCTGGAGGCCCCCCTTTATGCCACCTTTGAGTCACCTCTTGGAAGTTTGAGATTTCATTTTCTGCAGTAATGGAAATACAGGTCTCCCTGGGCATGACATTCGGGACACTTCACTATGATATCAGACCTCTTAATCTCGATTCATGTGCCCATTCACAATAAGCCAATCACTGAGACATGGGTGCTTGGAGATGGAGAAAGGCTTATTCGAATTGGCCAAAATGAGAAGGCAGGAGGATGGGTTCTCGCAAACCCACCTTAACAAAAGAAGAAAGCAGCGGGTTTTATACAGCTAAGGAGCTCAGGAGGAGGAGTTTTGGAGAAACAAAGGGGAAATCGGTGTTTCTTTCACTCCAGATAAGCTCTTGGGCAATCAGACTTCTGGGCATCAACAGCCCCTGGGGACTGGTTATCTGGTGATTGTAAATTCCTTGAAGGCATTCTTTTTCTTCTGTAAAACAAGCTCATAAATTCTTGTGACCCTTGAGTCACCCCTCAGGTTAAACAAGACAATAGTAAATTATCAAGATTAACTTCTTTTCATCTGTGTCTGTGTTGGGAACAAGGTCCAGGGGTAATCATCTTCTTATTGAATATTTATGGTTACCTTCAGGTACCCAGCTTCAACTCCTCCAAACACTGTGTCTTCATTCAACACATATTTATTAGGCTTCCACTATGTGCGCTATACTGTTCTAGATTCTAGAGATTCAGCAGTAAACAAAGCGCATAAAAGTTTCCTCACGGCAGTTACTTTCCAGTGAGCAGGAGTGGACAGGAGATAGAGCACAATAGTATGTTAAATAAGATCTAAGGGAAAAAAAAAAAAAACGAAAGGGAAGCAAAAATATGAAGAAAGTGAAAGGGCTGAGCATATGGGAAGGGTAAATGGCAAAGGTTACAGCAAGTGCAAAGGCCCTGAGGTGGAAACAAATATCTCTCTCTCTTTTTTTTTTTTGGTGAGGAAGACTAGCCCTGAGCTAACATCTATTGCCCATCTTCCTCTTTTCGCTTGAGGATGATTGTCATCTGTGCCAACTTCCCTCCATTTTGTATGTAGGACACTGCCACAGCATGGCTTGATGGGCAGTGTGTGTAGGGCCATGCCCAGGATCCAAACCTGTGAACCCTGAGCCACCAAAGCAGAATGCACAAACTTAACCACTATGCCACCAGGCCGGTCCCTACAAATCTCTTTTTTTGTGCCTTGAGCCTGTGGAGATCAGAATCTGCCACCTCAGGGGCTGCCTGGTGGCATAGTGGTTAAGTTCGTGTGCTCCGCTTTGTCAGCCCCGGGGTTCGCTGGTTGAAATACTGGGCGTGGACCTACACACCACTTATCAAGCCATGCTGTGGTAGCATCCCACATAAAAAATAGAAGAAGATTGGTACAGATGCTAGCTCAGGACCAATCTTCCTCACCAAAAATAAATAAATAAATAAATAAATAAATAACTTTTTAAAAAAGAATCTGCCACCCCAAAATGTGTCTCTTTGGCTTGATTATATTTAAGAACAAAAAACTCAGAAAGAAATTTTGACCTTTCCCAAACTGCCTAAAAGATATGAGATAGAAGGCCAGTTCCAGGAAGGAGCCAATACCATAAGATAACTATAGTATAATATAAACTAGGTGTGTAAACAGGGAGAAACATAGCAAGGCCCATTTAATAAAAGTCCTGCCCATGTCCCATTGTTTTTGCACAGTATGACAGACATTTGTTTACCAAACATTTGCTTTTCCATCTCCATGTGAATTGCCTTCCTTCCCTTTGAAGTCCCAAACTGCTACCCCAACATCCTCCTTTGTCTTTAGCTCAAGATGATATTTAATTACGGTGGTGGCTTCAGCCATTTTGGGAGTTACTCAGTTTTCCTGGATTTCTCCCATGTATTCATGTTATTAAATTTGTTTGATTTTCTCCTGTTCTTCTGTCTCACATCAGTTTAATTCTTAGATCAGCCAGAAGGACCTGGAAGGTAGAGGAATAGTTCTTCTCCTACAAGCCTTTGTTGAGGCCCTCATAACCATGGGTGTTACGTAAGCTGTTGGCACGTAGGGCTAAAGGCTTATTCATCTCTGCTGAAAACATACTTCTTCTTATTACAGTTTTTTAAGTTTTTCTGTTGTTTTTTAACTTACTCACATAGTACTCAAATACATGCTCCTTCAGGGGAAAAAAATAATGAATTATAGACTGAAAAGTTCCCTGCTTCTCATTCAACTCTTGTTCCTTGTTCTTGTTTACATTTAGTCAAATGCTTCTTTTCCTGTATAGTTTCTGGACTTTCTGTCTTGCTTGGATAGACTGAAACTACCCAAAAATTAGCAAGTAAATTCTTTTACTTTTACTTTCAATATTTTTATTGTTTTGGTCTTTAGATTTGAATTTTAAACCCAACCAGAATTTATTTATGTACATGGCGTAATATACAGTAGTATATAGCCAGTTGGTTCCACACCATTAAATGTTTAAATTTAAGCATTAAGTTAAATCCATTCTTTCCCCCACTAATTGGAATTACTTCCTAAGTCATATATTAAATTCCCATATACATTACAGCTGTTGTTTTATTGACTGTCACTATTTCTATGACAATACAATACTACTTTAATTACCATAGCTTTATTATCATGTGTTTGGGTATCTGGGAGGACAAGACCTTCCTCATCAAATATTCAAACCAGCTGGTTAATATATTCGGATCTGGTTGAGGATATCGGGATTACATCTAGTCTGGAACATTAACTTACAGAGCGTTAACATCTTTAAGCTTCTGAGTCTTCCCATCAAAGAAGAGAAGCACACCTAGGTGTATTCAGGTCTTTTATGCTTCTTTTTGGCTAAAGTTCTAGAGTTCTTACAAATGGATCTAAGACATTTCATGCTAGGCTTACTCCTACAAATTTCTGATATTTGTCGGCTATTATGAATGGGCTCTTTCTTTTTTCCAATTACATTTTCTAATTGGTTATTACTGGTATATAAGAAAATGTTGCCTTGGGTACATGCTAGTCTCATATCTAGCCACTTTTATGAGGTCCAATAGTTTTTAAAGTCAATTATCATAGATTTTCTGAGTAGACAATCAGATTGTCTATAAACAAGTTGTTGAGTTTCTAAAGCTTCCGCAAACCTACTCAGCCACTTAGCACTCACTTCTGACACTAAAATTTCCCTTGACCCTAAGCAAGAAAAAAAGAAAAATATAATGTATCCATATATACCGGAAAATAGGGGCCCCATGAAGACCTGGGCGTGTTTTCAGTATGGTCCTCTCCTCCATTCCGTGAGGTCATTAAGCGCTCTGCGGCAGCCTCCATCTGGCCTCATTCATCTCCACAGGAATTTTCTCAGTGTTGAGAACACAACTGTTCTAGCCATTCCCAAGGTATTTGTGAAATTTCAAAGAAAAATCCAGTATTTAAACAACAGGGCTAGCAAACTAGTGGATTTTAATAAGGGAACAAATTCCTGTTGCAACAGTTGCTACTTTTCAGTCAAGGAGATGCAGTCCTTAAAAAAAGAAAAAAGATCAAGGCTTAGCAGAAATCAAGGGAATAATATAAGACAGAAGAAAAATATAGGCAAACCTTTCTCCTGTAAAATACAGGGAAAATACCTTACGATGTACCATAGCAGGCTGCCAGAAGTTTTAAAACACTAATTTTCAAGCTTTTAATTCATAATTCATAGCTGAAGTTATAAAAACTAGTATCTTCTATACCAGTTTCCCATGGAATGTTAAAGATAATCCCAGCGTTGTAACATGGTCACTAAAATAGCAACTTCCCAACTGTTTTGAAAGAAATGGTTATTTCAGAATGTTATAAAAGTCTCAAATTTTTAATTTTTAAGTGCCATAAGCATTTAAAAGCTATGTTTTAGTAGAAAGGCTAAAACTATGAATATATGGCATCTGAAACCTCAAAAAAATGAAGTTCAGGTTCAGAATCTGTCCTTACCTGCGTGTTGGACCCAAATCTTAGCTAGAACAAGCGACAGTCGCACATCAATGAGTAAGAAAGCGTATTAATTGGTAACTGCCTCAGTACGCTTATTCCACAGCAGTAAAAATCATAAATACTATAGTTCTGAAAGCAAAACTATTTGCCACATTTATTTAGAATGCGCTTCTAATTTAACACTGGACAAACCTAACAAAACAGGGAAAGCAATGGGTTTTTTGACGGAATATTCTAAATCACTTAATCTTCGTTTTGATTTTAATTATAATCTATTTACTCACTTAACTGAAAATTTGTTCATGCATACCATAAGGTCATTTTATCACCAGCCGTATCATGTTCCCTATAGAAGAAAAACTGTATTCTAGTACCAAGTTTGGCAAACTACAGCCCACAGCCCCAACCCAGCCCACCGCCTATTTTTGTATAGCCTTTGAGCTCAAAATAGTTTTTACATTTGTAAATAGTTGGGAAAAAATCAAAAGAAGAATAATAGGGGGCTAGCCCGGTGGCTCAGCTGTTATGTGCACACTTTCTGTTTC